GAGATTCTTAACAAAAGTTGAACAAGTTTCAAGATTTACTTTCTAGAATTCTCAGTTTGTCAAGTACTATTTTATGTGTTTAATGCACTGCTACATACTGGAAAATTTCATTGAATAGCAATTTCAGGAAACTAATTAACACTACTTTTATAGTTTAATCTCCTTATTATTTCATAGATTTAGTTAACTTTCTTTATGAATAGTATTGTTTTTTAAAATTAATGAATAGGTTTGCATATTCCTCAATTGACAAATGAATATTCTTGATATAGTAGGTAGGTAAACAGCAATAATATCAGTGAGCAAAAACATAAAATCCAACATTCCTGAGTTTACAGACTTTCTAGATCCAGCGAGACAAGGTCAAATCATAAAGCAACTGATCATTACCTCAGGGCTGTTTTATCTTTGTACACACCAAAGTTTTGAGACAAAACGCAGTACCTTAAATCACTGTAGTCTTTGATTCGTTTCAATATTTTTTTACTTGGACTCTGACTAAATGTAGTTTATAGCATACGCAATGTTACATCCTTGATAAAAAACATCACTGTTTTGAAGTTATTTGTTTAGTTTCTTGGCATTAAACATTACGTACGGTATTGTCACCAAATGAAGAGTCAGATAAATTTTTACACAAAACATTAATCTAAATTCGCAGGAAAACAATCAAACCAGTGTATTATCTATGACGGTCCATTTTAACATTTTAACTATGAATTTTATGATGTGTGATGTGTAGATGTATCGATATATTTGGATCAAAAATCGATATTTTGAGTGATATTTAAATTTTAGTTCTTTCTTTAAAGTTCCTAAGTCAGTTATGAGTTATAAGCTATAACGTTACGCTATAGGAACATACTTAACGTCGATTTTTAAAAATATTTTTTAGTTTTTCATGGTTACTTTTAGATAAATTACATATATAAAATGTAAATATTAATTTTCAACATCGATTTTGTTTGAAGTTTTTATGGCCTGGAACTCGACACCTTTTAGCCAAGTCTTAAATTTTCTTCTATATTATATTTTCTCACAATATGATAAATGATATGAAATGAGTGGAGATGGGATGAAATATAGTTTCAGTAAAATGGTGGTGGTTTATTGAGCTTTTTTTTAGTGGACATTGGAAGTTTAACCTGAAAAGCTTCGTCTAGACAAATTTTATCATATTTGTTCACTTTTACAGATGCTGAACAGTTATTAAATCGTCATTACACAATTCAACCCAAAAAAACAATAAAGGAACAAAATAAAACAGAACTGCACTCCTCACATTCCCAGCAAAATATTTTCAATTCGGAAAATAGGGACAAAACAGAAATTACAAACCATCTAACGCCTGTTCACCAATGACCTCCTGCCGGCCACGCAAATGCGCGCAAACATTCGTGCATTGTAGAAATGTTTGCGCGCATGTGAAGGGCCGTCAGACATTCATTCGCAAACTTAGCGGCTGTGCAAATGGGTTCGGTACTCAATTTGCGAACCCGTTTGCGCTTCCTCCTACACTTGTTTACGAATGTCTCACGAATTTCTCCTCCTTTTTAATTCGTCAATAGAACATTGAAGAGAAAAAGAGTTTTGAATTCTTTCCCAGACATCATTAACAGACATGCTGTTTTTATGGGATTTCTTTTGATGAAGATACGCTACACAGTAGACGTCACGACCTATGAAAATAGCGAAACGTCCGTTGCCTTCGCAATCGTGGGCGCAACAGCTTGGATAACCGTGAATGCAGCGAAAACTTTGCATAATCATTTGCAAAGTCGTCCTACACTTGTGGGTTTGCGTATTCGTGCGAATGTGAGTGACCGGTATTAAATTTACAAAGGGGATTGCCCACTCTCCATAGTGTGCTAGGCCCACGGTGGACATCAAATATTACTATAAAAATGGACTGATTCAAATTCTTAAATGTATTGGATATCTAAAAAATATATTGAAATTGACGCCACTATTATAAAAAATATAATAAAAATAAAAACTCGTTTTGAGGTTAATTTTCTATATAAATAAGTGTCGAGAGAGAGATACTTCAAGAACTTTTCTTTTCTTAATGTTTAAGATGTTCCTAATGTATTTTTATCCAATAGGGTATAAAAACACACTTAATTCTTTAAATATCTATATTTTCTTCATCTTCATACACAATTAGTATCGTCTAAAAATAGCAAAGGAGAGCATATACACGGTTTTAAATCTCGGTCAGGGTAAAACCACAATTCACACAATGTTTTTTAGTCGTAGTATGAAACGTTATTGATAAAAGTAAAATAAATCGAAGAAAAATCAAAACACATCCATTTTGTACGCAAGCACAACACCACAAGCAGCAAGCGAAGTGTCAGTCAGTCAGATTAAATTCAGTGTTGTCAGTATAAAGAAAAATAATTACATGAAATTCATATATCGATTATTTTTTTAAATAACCGATAATTGATTTATATCTTAATCTTTTTTTTACGAGTACACATTATTTTTTATGTTTTTGTTTTAGTTGTACATATTTAAATAACAATACTAGTAAAGTTTTTTTTATTGCTTAGATGGGTGGGCGAGCTCACAGCCACCCTGGTGTTGCTAAGTGGTTACTCGAGCCCACATACATCTACAACGTAAATGCGCCACCCACCTTGAGATATAAGTTCTAAGGTCTCAAGTATAGTTACAAGTTAAAGTCCAATGGGTATGTCTTCGATGTTATTTTATGTGCATAAAATCCATTAAAATCGTTTGATTAATGATAATACTTAAAATGATTTATTTATATGTTTTATTTATATACTCAAAATATTTACTTCATACGTAAAAGGATTTGAAGCTGGCAATATTTTTCCCGCAAAAATAAAAATCCTTGTTTTTTCAATAGAGTTACTTTTTTTAAACTACTTTTTGTAAACTATAGTGGCGCTTATTTGCAAGAAAGTAAATGCATATTTATTTATGACAAAATTAATGCACTAAGTATTTTTTCTATAATCTATTGTCCGCTTTGGGCCTAAAATGGGCCATCCCCTTTGCTTCATTGCCTGTTGTTGAGGTCTATTTTGAATTAGTTCGGGTAGTTAATATCAAACTGCCTTTTGCGCCGTCAATTAGTCATGCATTTCGATTTAAAGGGACAGCTTTTTTACAATATAATTCAATATGTTTCTAAGTGAATGGCAGCATGCACGTTGTTATGTCTATGGATTCTGGAAACTATTTAATAATTAGGTGTGTCATGAGTTCACAATTAGAAATGCTTCACTTTATAGATAATACACATATTATAGATATAGTGAGATTTTTTTTTCGGAAAAATTCGTATTTATCGTGCTCTCTCATATAGCTTCAGTAGGTACCCATCTTAGAGCCGTAGGGGTAAGTCGCATCAGCAGACCAATATAATAGTTTGAGGATAAATTTCTTCACGTTTTTAAGAAAATTCACAACATTTTTTAGTATAATTTATTTACATTTAACTAAAGTATGTAGCTACCATTTTGTTCGATAACTTTTTGCCATCTTGTAGGTAGGGACATGATCCGATTGATATATAAATTTTGGGGCTTCTGATCAAAATACCGCGACAATTGGTTTTGGCAGTTCTCTCGTGATGTTAACCTGACACTGCCTAAAGAATTCTGAAGAGACCGAAACAGGTAGAAATCTGAAGCGTACTCCCCCGACACACCCCAGACCGGCTATAGAACTCCCCAGATGAGTGGTCACACATTGGAATAAATTGTTTCTGATCTTTCAAGTAACTGGCAAAAAACGTTAAGAGGCACCTGTTGAACCCAAATGCCGGCTTCCGCAATAATAATATATGTCATTCATTGTCAACAAGATCAAAGGCCTTTTTAAAATAAAAGTAGGCAGCATCCACTTGAACCGCTCTGTCCATGTGTTGGAGAACAAAGTTATAAAAGTTGATATTATTGGTGACAGTCGACCGGCCAGCGCGGAAGCCATGCTGCGCGTCTATTATGTAGTGTGATATTTGGGTTATTATTTGGCGATTAATCAAACTCTCAAAAACTTTCGCAAATACCGACAAAATAGCAATAGGCCTATCCTTGGGAACTGGCGTTACTCTCGATAGTTTCCATACTGAAGGATATTATTATGTCATTTCTTATATAGACAAGTTGTACAAATAGAGCAAGGGGGCTCGTCAAAAGCCGACACACAGTCACTAACTAAGAATACAGGTATACCATCAGGCCCTGGAGAGGATGAAACTTTCAGTTGACGCACCACTTGATGTAAATCTTTAAAAGTGATGCTATTCATTGAAATACTCACATTTTTCAGAGGGGTTTCATTTGAACTGGCGTTTGAAGAACTAGCACACTCTCGTGAAATACTGAACTAAGTAAAGTTGTTAGCAAAAATATCTTCAGCATCACCACTATCTACTATTTTACCATAATGAGTGCAAATACCTATTGACGAATGATACGTCCATTGATTCCGAATATGGTTCCAGAATACTGCGGGCTCCCGAGTAATATTAGATCCAATTCTCCTTATATAGGTACTCTCGGTTTGCAAGAGAAATTACCTCTTTAACTCAGGTTCTATAGTACTGAGACAGCTGTTTATTGAATTCAAGGCCATTAATCTTGAATTTAACGTGATGGAAATACTTAAGTTTAATACTCCCAATAACCTCAGGAGTGTACCAAGATGGGTGGGTATTTATATCAAATTGTTTTGTCAAATTATGCCAGAACCGGCGATTACTATTAAAGCATATCCACCACGAATGAATCTTGCTTTATTTTATGAAATTTACGAATATTTATTAACATTGTGGACTCAGATTCGAGCCACTTATTTCAATGTCGTGAAACGGAACGTTATCTATCTACTCACGCAGTCATCCATTGGATTGCGTCAGCCACCAAGCCCACCAATGACCGAGATAAGTAGATACATTCATTACGTATGTGAATCGTGTCCTGTTAAAAGATCGTCATTCCTCTTATAACGACGTAGTGATTATGTACTCTTTGATTTAGCGCTTAAACATTAACAGAAGTGGTCTTATTGTAAAAAATTGTTATCTTATCCTTTAAATCATAAAGCAAAGAACCGTTTTAATCGTAACTGAATTTTGGTCTTGAAAAGTTTTTAAGGCCGCTGATTCTGTTTCTTATTGTATTGACAAGAATAAGCATCATTAAATCAAGAAGAATAAATTTGGTTGTATTTAACATGAGCTGTGTCTACATGCAAAAAAATAAGCATTCAGGTGTCGGAAATAGTTTTGAACAGAACCATACAAATATTTCTACATTTAATTTTGTTAACCCGAGAAGAATTAACAGCTATTGTTCTCAGAGAAAAGGGATTATTAAGTTTAAGACCTTGTGGTGTAGAAGACACGGTAAAATGTAAGTACAATTTTTCGTTTGATAAGTGGATACTACTATAATTTAAAAAAAGCCAATTTTGAGACGCTGACGTTTTTGGATCGACCCACAATTTAAATTCCGCGCGCAACCGGATCATTTACTGGTGCGTTCCACTAAGCGTTCACAACGATCAAAATACTCGTTTAGTCGTTCCACATAATGAACGCGGTCGTTGTGGTCGCGACGAAAACGTCACTTATGACGTCATGACTTACGCTCACGCGAAGCCCACGACGACCCATCTAAAAAGGTGGGGCGAAGTGATCGTTGAGAAAATTAGCGGCGTTTTCAAAATTCAAAGCATCAAAAATGGCGACCATTTTTGCTTACGTTATTTTATGCGGAAAGAGATACTATCTGGAGCATTATTGCGACCTCTTAGCAAATATCCAAGTGCCGAAAAGCCGCCGAAAAGACATTTTAATTACATTTGAACGTCAATTAATTAAATACACCACTAATATTAAATATAAAAGATTAAATTATAAATGTTTTCAATATGAATCGATTTAAACAATAATTAAATAAGTTTATTTTCAAGGCTTACAGATTATAACCTAACCTCTTAAAGCTTTTTCTTAACTCGCCGTTTGTATTATTTACCTCCACGCTCAAAACGCTCTATAAATCCATTCCACTTGAGTTTACGATAGTAACGCTCACAAGCAAGTGGAACGGGAAAAATTGTGGTCGTGAAGCGAGATCGTTGTGAACGCTTAGTGGAACGCACCCTACAATTCATTGACAATAAATACAGCAAGAACAAAAGTCACTAATTATTGCTTCAAAATCAAATCAATTCATTCAATTTCGATGTTATTCAACATTGTTAATAAAACTACTTTTTCCTAACTTTTAGTATTGTTATCGTAGGCAGATGAACTTACAGTCCAGATCGTATGTAGTGTCAACGCCGTCCCTGCCGCCTACTGCTAGTACCAATTTTAAAGGCTAAGTAGTTATACTTCTACGTTTTTTTTTATTGCTTAGATGGACGAGCTCACGACCCACCTCGTGTTAAGTGGTTACTGGAGCCCTTAGACATCCACTACGTAAATGCGCCACCCACCTTGTGGTATAAGTTCTAAGGTGTGAGTATAGTTACTACGGCTGCCCCACTCTTCAAACCGAAACACATTACTGCTTCACGGCAGAAATAGGCAGGGCGGTGGTACCTACCCGTGTGGACTCACAAGCGGTCCTACCACCAGTAATTACGCAATTTATAATTGTGCGGGTTTGATTTTTATTACACGATGTTATTCCTTCACCGTGGAAGTCAATCGTGAACATTTGTTAAGTACGTATTTCATTATAAAAATTGGTACCCGCCTGCGGGATTTGAACACCGGTGCATCGCTAGGTACGAATGCACCGGACGTCTTATCCTTTGGGCCACGACGACTTCACTAAACGATGACTTCCTACTGATAAAGGCTAAACAGGGGCGGTGGAGGATTTTTATTGAACTATAGTAGAATTATTTTGTCCGTGCAGTTTGGGTCATAAAACATAGCCCGACTAGGGCGGTGAGCATCTTGTGCGGGCGCAACGCCATTATCGATAAAAACAAATAAGTCATCGACGACAGGTACACGGCTGCGGGGTGGTATACGAAGGGTGGTAAGACATTATGTTACGAGTCATTTGTACTTACCTGCAAATTATAGTACATTATGTCGAAGAGTAATGTGTTTTTATGCATTCGTTCTCTGAATTTATTTAGTGACACAATGGTTACTCTTTTGTTTTGTATCAAAACGGCAGAATTTATTCAAAATAATATTTGCACGTGTTGTTATCAATAATGTGTTAAAATTTTTCACTGAAATAAGAATAAATCCCGAAAAGTTACAAAGTGTTAGTTTCTGCCGTTCTCGTTTATTTGCTGCGGCGATATGTAGTGTAAATATTCGATTAGTGATTCTTTCTTTTATTTTTATCACTAACCCACAAAATGACAAAAATAAATACACTATCGATAACGCTTATCGACAACAATAATGCGCATCACTATGCCCGTCCATAAGGCTCGTGCCTGGAAGAGAGAGTGAAGTACTCGCTTCACCGCTCCAATTTTTTATGACCCAAACTGCACGGACAAAATAATCCCACTATAGTTGGGTCGACGAGCTCACTGTCTTTCTGGTATAAAGATGTTGCAGAAATCCATAGACCTTGACAGATGAGGTCGAAGTCTCAAGTCGACTGTATAACGCCTGTTGTCTCCCTGTTTAAAACGAAAATCATCGTTGCTTTGCAGGAGAGAATACGCAAGGTGGTAGTACAGGTAGCACAGTATTGCGTTGCTCTCATTACCAAATGCAGTCGATCTATAGTTGGCGTCGTGTCCCATTACCAATGGCAGTTTTAATTACATGGGTGTAGTATTTTAATGATCGAATTATATAAATAAAAAATGAAGTAAATTTTTCAAGAGATATCTTTATCGGGTTTATCACAGTTTCTATTTACACGTGTGACGTAATATAACAGCGAATTGGAGGCCCGGAGGGAATTTTATAACTGGAGCAGTTTTAAGACATAGCAAGCTTGGTAAAATATGCTAGTACATTATAATTCGTAATAAGCGTTCGGTATAAAATATGACGCATTTTATATCAGCCAGTGCCAATTAAACTTGTGGTCCAACGGTCCTATGTGTCCTTTATGCAGATATCGCAGAATCACGATTGGGCGCGCAACACTGAGTTATCAGTTTTATTGAAGGTCGTGGAATCAAGAGAAGACACGTTTCACGATATCTGCTGTAATCGTTTGGCCAGATTTTAGAAAGCTGTAGTTGAACGACACCGGCGCGGCGCTAGTAACACTCACAAGTAACTTTTTCAGAGTCAATTTTCGTTTAGGGCAGGATTTGGCTGGGTCTCCAGGGTTCAGCAATTGCGACGAGCGCTTCTGATTATCGTACAGTATCCACTTATCATCACAAGTAATGATTCGATTTAAAATCCCTTCATTATTGTGTCGGATCAGCAAAGTAATATAGCAGTCGACGCGTGTTCGCAAATTCGATACGTTCATTTCATGAGGTACCCATCGTTCAAGTTTTTTTTACTTTCCCGGTTTGCTTCAAGTGGATTAATAGAGTTTTATCACTTACCCCGAAGCCTGCAGCTATCACTGAAGTGCTTTGTGATGGATCTTCTTCCACAATAGCCTTTAATTCTTCATTTTCCACTTTGGTCTCCGGCCGTCTACGGGGTTGGTTCTGAAGGTCGAAATTTCCAGAACGAAAACGTTGAAACCAAAAACGTAGCGTGCGTTCTTTTGCGACACCAGCGCCGAACACAGTCATCATTAATCCTTCGAGCTGTTTCTGCAGCACTGGGACCACGGTAGACCTCGTACTCGTAAATATACCGATATTTCATGTTTTTCATTGTGCGGTAATACTTAAGTGACGCCACAGAAAAAAATTATGAGGGAAAAGAAATGAATGACTGTTTTCAAAAGTCAAATGTACCAACTAAATGAATTTATAAATTTGAATTTGGAATTTTTAACCAAAGAGGAGATATTCCAGATCAAAGTGGTCAACACGACAAAACGCTAATTTCATATTATGTATGTACCTAATATTTCAAACATGGACCGTTTCGTTTGCATTTCATCATAATCTTCAGCAATTTGATACTGATTGCTCGACATAGACGTTATGTCGACGTTATAAGGTATGTTCGATCGTGCCATAAGTTTTCCTAAGTCTTCTACGCCCTAATCTCAGCCGACCGTCACTGTGTTGTCATTTCGTCTTGCTAAGTTTACAGCCCAACTCTATTTCAGATCTGCTGCTCTTTTACCCAAATCTGTAACTTTTTTGGCGTCTAATATCGATATTACGGTTTCGATCTATTATATTACGTTATCAGATGCGAGTTATTCTATCGCTCGCGGTGCATAGTCTGATAAGTATGAGTCCATGTTTCTGCACCATACGGGCAAAGGAATTGATTGTCTTGAAACATTGTAGGATTTTTTATTTAGAGATATCTTTCACTTCTCTAAATGCAGCCCGCCCATTCTTGTTGATATTCACTACCCAAGGATAGAACATGTCGCTGATCCACTATCTTTACCTGTTCTTACCTCACAATTTTAAGTAAAAACTTACTTATTCACAATACGTCGTAACTTAGTTTAGTGAAGGCTCTTTTTTGAATAATATCACATGTGATTATTACGTATTGAACATACAACTAACTATGTTGTAACATTTTTTTTCCAACCTATTCTAGTAACTTTTTCTAGATTCACCGAACTAGTAGGTGAGCTCGCGGGGCTCAAACCTAACGTTGTTGCTAACACGAGCGAACTCTCAAGCGTTTAGTTATACTATTCGTTATACGTATAATTAAGACTTTGAACTCCTCATGTCTCGATATGGCCTTCGACATTATTTTAAATGCACTGCGATAACCTCTTAACCTTTAGTGATCCATCTGTTCGTACGCACTATCAATTTGACGGAATAAAAAAAAAACGATTCACTTTTCTCAAAACAAACGGGATTTGAATCTGTGATCATAACAGTTACGTGATACGTGTGTTTCAGTTCACAGAACTACTTTTGCGGCTTTGCGGATTTCATTCTCATTACATGAGTTTATTCCTTCGGCATGGAAGTATTTCGTGAAGGTCGTGTAATGCGGAGTTTACATTACGAAATTAGTGTCATGCATGTTGAACTCAGTTGCACGAAAGTAGTTTCGATATATGAGTCGTCTATTATCAAAGGTGGCAATCTGTGCATTTGGATAAAAAAATGTTATTGATATGTCAATACAGATTGATTTGAATATAATCGTCTCCTTCAAAGAATACGGTTCAAAACCTGCATTAAATAAAGAATTAACCTTTATTTAATGCAGGTTTAACCTATTATTTATCTAAGATGTCGTTCAGAAGAGTTTTGTGACTGCCAATGGAATACAAAGTCAATAATTCGTTTTTCTGGTTTACCAATAATTGTCCAAAAGTCACATTGCCGGCTTTGATAATAGTCGACTCATATGCGAAAGTAATTTCTTTAAAAAAATAAGTGTCGCGAAATCCACAGTATCGCAGTAACCATGACGCCAACAGCATCAAAGCTATAATTTGCTATATTCAATGTAGCTAAAGAAATGCTTATAAATATAGCTATAAACTTAAAAAAAGACTATCAAGAAAAAAAAGACGTTGGTAGATTCGGGGATGGTCAACAAGAAGGCATTTAGGTGCAATGAAGTTAGTCTCTGAATTAGCAGATGAAGATCCTGAGAGTTATAACTGTTTTCGAATACGTGTTTACAAATAAAATATTGTACCTGGCTGGTTTTAACCCCGGCATTGTCTCATTGATCGTTTTCAATTCCTTATTTATCTATTTACCTATATGACTTTAATTAATCGATAAATTAAAATATATATTTTTACTAACAAAATCTCGAAAGAAGAGTAGGTAGGTAATTCAGGTAAGTAGGTACTTACCTACTTACGAACAATAAAACGAATCATACGGGTATTAGTCTGATTAATATCATAATACAAAACATTGATAAGCTTCCAACTTCTTATTAGCCTAAACAATAAAGTAATTCGAGCATTTTTTGAATTACATAGATATGATTCTTATTACCGTTACGTAACACATAACACAAATACGTACGATCATAACCTTCGTAATTAAAGCAGGCACCACATAATGTTAATAAACTTGTTCGCATAGACAATAAATATTTAAGTAATTCTAAAAATTGAAAATAATAGGCACTACCTAAGCTAATTTACATAAATAGGTACCTAATTAAGTATGACGTAGGAAAAGACTAGGTATACATATTACGTACTTTGTGGATTAAACAATAAAATAGGTTATTCAACTTAGTTCAATGCCGGACTAAAGTGACTCCGTGCCACGGTATGAGTCATTCTTATTTTTTTAACCTAAAACGTCACGGCCTAAACATGTTGATACCTGTCTGAATCTGATCTTTCACGCTTCGCAGTTCTGTTATAAACCTTGGTGGCCCCTACCTACTTACTAAAACTATAGTATTATTATGCGGTCCTACAAATAATTTAATAACACGTGTTTTTTTTACACGCTACATATTATGATAATACAGTGGTATTTAAGGTACATATTACGTATTTGCTCCAAAACTTTCTTTATTTAGATTGTAAGTAAAAATCTATATAGGTAAATTATTTTCATTCGACAAGAATGCATGAGTCATTAAAATTATAATGCGCTTGTTTTTAACTTTGTGAATCCCCAATTTCCTCACATTGGCGGACCGGTTAGAATGAAACGGAACAGTCCAAAGTATGTAAAACAAAACAGCTCCAACATAATATATATTGTATAGAACATGGATGGGAAAAGGTTGGCCGCGTGACTACTGACTCGCTAATATCTGGCTCTGTTCATTGGCTGTTAAAGTTGACGTCATTCTGTTGAGCCAATTAGGTTGTTCGAAAATAATATTTTTAGATTTCATGTGGTGGGGTTGAGGAAAACCGAGTATAGTTGATTTCAGTGTACAGCGTGATCAAAAATATTGCACAATATTTTCTGTACTCTCTCGGAGCGCACGTGTCGCGCTTTCAATTCTGAGAAACTCTTGAACTTTTTACATTCTGTATTTACTGAGACTTCTTATTAAGTATTGCTCGTTTAAGTTCGATTCCTTTTTTACAACCACGGAATCACATCGAACTCTAGTTTTGAAAGGCTTGCATACATTCATTGTACTCAGGTAAGCTTAATTTACTTATATATAAATTAAAATTAAATTTACCTATCCCTCAAATATATAAGTACCAACGAGTGGTATTTTCCTACCAGTGGATAATTTCCTACCAGTGAATATTTACAAACGCAAAGACTATTGAGTTCCTAGAAATTTCGATGACGTTGCAAAATTAAAACGCGATGCCTTGGTTGAAATCGCTATCTTTATTGTTCGTCAGATAATAATTGTATCTCGCATTGTCAAAGCGAATAATCAATATCAAAACACTACGCCCTATCCATTATTCCAGCCAAATAAGCAGTCGTAAAAACCCTTCCTACTTAGTAATTAAAACTGTAACTTCACGGTAGGGACATTGGTAGTTGTTTTTTATTTTTTTATATTGCATACATGGATGGACGATCTCACAGCCCATGTGGCGTTAAGTGGTTACTGGAGCCCATAGACATCTACAACTTAAATGCGCCACCCACCTTGAGATATAAGTTCTAAGGTCTCAGTATAGTAACAACGACTGCCCCACCCTTCAAACCGAAACGCATTACTGCTTCACGGCAGAAATAGGCAGGGTGGTGCGGACCTATCCGTGCGGACTCACAATAGGTCCTACCACCTGTACTTGCTTACTTTTAGAACGTATCTAAAAATTAGAATTGTTGCTAAAACTATTTTTCCTAACGCGACAAGACAACCGGTCAATCTTTTTACGTGTGGTAAAACCCGTTTTATTATAATCTCTGTGGAAATTTATGAAATCGATTTGGTGTGGGAGCGGAACACATTTTGGACGGTATTATAAACGAGGTCAGATAGATTAAGTAGAAACATATAATTGTAATGGATGTCAATAGAAGTTTATTAAATTACGTCTTTTTATTTGTTACAGGCCTACTCTCGGGACAGTTAGTTGTTTGGGAGCTTAAAGAGTTAACATTTCTTTAGGAGCTCAAGAAGAGTTCAATCAAGTGAGTAAAATATTTTATAGGTACTTTTTTCTTTCGATTAGTATTATTTGTTCACAGACCAGATGCGCAAAGAAACGTTCCAGAAGGAAAAAAATCCAAATAAACATTACGATATACCTATATATAACATACCTATTACGTTGCTTTTCGTTCAGAATGAGCACTAAACATGTACATAATGCTCTTCAATCATTTCTCCCGCTTGGTGGCTAGATTTCAACTATTTTGTGTTCGCCTTTAACATAGCCTTCTCATTGATAATAAGAGATTGTTATTTTTTGTTTTACAATTTGTATAACTTTGTCATTGGTGATTTAGTAACATAAAATAACTCTTTAAATATTTATCAATGCGATGAATGAGTATAAGGCAAATAACAAGTGATTATCTAGATAGCTGCTACAAGGACATTAAATTCCACGACAACATTAATGAATTTATAATCAACCGAAGCACCTTGTTCGTGCGATTTGCATATCTTAATAAGATATTTTTACATTTTGAATTTCAAATTTTAGTTTAAATGTAATGATATTTACATAACTTTACAAGCTAGCAACTTATATTTAGATGTAATAACTTCCTTTAATATCAAATTAAAGTTTTTAGTATAAGTAGTACTTTTAAACTAATAATCTCAATCGACATTTAGGAGCGACATGAATCTAAGGATTTTGTTGAGAGCAAGCACTTATAATATTATTAACTCACTATAGAGATCTTTTTGTTTCCCTTCAAAAGTAAAAAATAATAATTATGATGTCATTGATAACGATTATGAGGGCAGGTGACTAGACTGATTGCATAATAAGTCATCATGTTATAATAACATAATGTTGTAATCAATTAAAGGAAAAAAGTAATAACGACATAGGTACTTAGAACATCAATTACACTAACGACGCAAAAACCTTTTTTTTTTTTTTCATTTTAATTCTCGCAAATCAGCACACATAAGTGCCTAAACTGGTTATAATCTTATAATATTTATGCAAACCCTCTACTATATTGTACCTATTTATTTCATTAAATTTAAAAAGTTCATTAATTTTTATGTAATGTTATTTGCATGCGTGGCATTCGTACCGACCTTCGTAGTATGTAATATATCTATATAATAATATGAAAATATGTTTATATATTAATATCATTATATCTCATACCGACTACATATTTATACGTTTCGTTCTACTTATATATTAGTCGACTATTATCAAAGCCGGCAATCTGACTTTTGGACAATTATTGGTAAATCAGAAAAACGAATTATTGACTTTGTATTTCATTGGCAGTTACAAAACTCTTCGGAACGACATCTTAGATATATAACAGGTTAAGTATTAACCTTTATTTAATGCAGGTTTTGAACCGTATTCTTTGAAGGAGACGATTATATTCAAATCAATCTGTATTGACATATCAATAACATTTTTTTGTCCAAATGCACAGATTGCCACCTTTGATAATAGACGACTCAATTTATACGTTTTGTTCTACTTTTGTCTTTTCAAAATTGTACTTTCAAAATACTTAGCTACTAAGTCCTTGTAGGTAGTTATTTCTTTATATTTTACTACTTTAGCTGGTACTGTTCGTGCGGCTTCATTCTGTAGTTGAACTACGACGGGATCTATATTTTCACATCGATCATCCTACTATAATCACTCGTATTGCTTCATAAAAGGCACATTAAGTTACGTCGTGTAATTTTTTTTGTAGTTCTATACAAAATGGTTGCTCAAAAGATCACCTGCCCGAGTCGGAGCGACGATATCGGAACTCAATACACCAATCCAAACACCAAAAGACATGGTTTTTTCGCAAACGAGTCTCAAGACTCGAAACATTTTGAAAGTAGTAGACCTAGATCGTTTAAAGCCAGAAAAGAACCAACAGGCGAACGGTCTAACCGGAGTGATTCACCAAGGAAAGAACGGAGTAATGCCTCAAGGAACAGTGCCAACAGCCAGCTTTTCCGAGGTAAGAGTGAAGCTGAGAATTCGTGAGTACTATTATAATAGAATTTTTATTAACATTAAACTTAAATATAAAAATAGCTATGTCACTGGAACTAAATTTAATATTAGTTTATTCTATTTCCAGGAATATTTGAAACCGGAACAGTTATACGCGAGCACAATGCTTCACGGTTCGAACTCAGAGTTCTTCCAAGAACTGGATCAGTTGTGCTCCGATCCAGAAAGGGAAGAACAAACACGGACCATTGGTAAGATGAATGGAACATAATAAATTGTTATACCTAACATTTCAACAAAATACATTTAATCTAACGAATGAACTTTTATTAACAGATTCTCATAAAGAAACCGAAAAACGGGCATGTTCCTTCGACACACCGCACACATCATTCTGCCTACAAGGGTGGGATGTACAAGACGATAACTCTCCCTACGGCCAGGCAGGCTTTTATAGTAACACCTCCATGGACACGATGTCTCCGGCTTTCGATGGGTTCGCTCTTAATAATGACTTAGGGCCGATTCCAGAGGAAGCTAATGAGGTTCAATTTCCAGAACAATTTTTGGATATCAGCAGCCTGCCTGTCGTTATCGGAGGTTTAACGTCCGCAGCGGCCCTTGACGATTCCTGGGCTTATCCAGAACCAGTCAACTGGACCGACACATTCAACACAGATAACACTATAAACACAGATACACAAAAAACATTGCCCTTGACCGAAGACGACTCTTGTGACGCAAAAATTATTTCTTTCCTGCCAAGTGAAGTCGAAAATTGTGATGTATTTTTACCTAAACTCATCGATCAGTGTGATGATGCAGTTTTACAAAAAGAAGGACTGCACAAGTGCGAAAGAGGACTTTCCATTGACGTAGGAATTCGTACACCAAGCTGGCCAGCTGATGCGATTAGCACTCCTGAAGTTCTTAGTTACGTCGAGCAATTAGAAAAAGAAAAGTGCTCACGTGCATTTAAGGTAATTCTATATTTTGTGCTTAAAATACATAATAACACAGACCATAGAGGTTCGACAAAGATGCTTATGTTTTAAAACTTATGTTTACTACAAGATTTTATTCAGCCACTCGCCTTGAGAAATAGGATTGTAGCCTCAATTGTATAGCATAACCAACTTTACTTCTATATGACAGCTTTAACAGTTGTAGATTAAGTTTGAAGAGTGTGAAAGACCTGTAAAACAATTGTAACTTTAACCGCATTTTTATATTATTTTATGTACTAATGAGATAGTAGATTACTTTATGGCTCACCTGGCTTAAGTGGTGGTAGCATATGATGCCTATGAGACTTAGTTATAATTAAACACCAGAGGGGTAAACATCTCATGTTCAGTAACAATATGAAAAATAGTTTGTTTATTATGAATAATTATTAATTTCCTATTTCATTGCTTAGGAACTCCACAATGATTTGCCTCTTCAAAAAACGGAACTAGACCTAAACTCAGTAGTAAACATCATTAGTCCGTGCAAAAATAATGATTATGAACCAGTCACTCCAAAAAGTGAATCTCAGCTGGATTCTGATAATGAAGACAGAAGAACACATTTAAGCAAAAGGAAGCATCTGGACAGTGATGATTCTGATGAAACCTATACACCTTTTGCTGAACAGACATCACGAAAATATAAAAGGAAAAAGTCAAATGTTCCAATCAAAGAAATGATCCTTGCACTTGAGGGATCACAACAGGTTGGGACCAGAAGAAGAGGCCGACCCCCCAAGAGACGAGACAGCACACTATCATCCACATGCAGCATTGATGAAAACTCATCAAATATTTCCACTCAAGAATCAAAGTATAGAGAGTTGAGAGACAAGAATAATGAAGCTTCCAAAAGATCCAGAATGAACAGGAAACTCAAAGAACTACAGATGGAACAATTAGCAATTGATTTGGAAGAAAGAAATAAAAAACTAAGAGTTAAAGCAGATATTTTGGAAGAGCTGACCAAAAAAGTAAAAGATGCATTGATGGCTGCAATTTTACAGAAATGAAGCAAATTGTGAATATTTTGTGTATTGTTAAAGCTCATAAGCATCTGCATCTTGTTACTTAGTAAGTCTACAACGGTGGACTTTTCAGTCTTAACAAGACTACATAACAAGACAATGCATGTTGCATATTGGCAAGGATAGTAAGTATCCTTAATAAAAACAACCTGGACTACACATAAGAAAAATTGTCTATTTATAGGTACATACTTAATCTTATCTAGAAATAAGATGTATTAATGTAACAAAACTTATTCTTTGGTTTTGCTTTACATTTTTGTTGTTTATCATTAAAAAAATATTTTTCCCTACAATTGTTTGGATATGGCAATTAAATAAAATTACGACTATGTTATACTTACCTAATTGAAAATAAATGGATTTATTGGAAAAGTTAGTTGTTTACATTCAATAAACCTTTTTCTTTATTTGTTAAAAGATACATTAAGTTTAGGTACTTTAAGTTAAAATTAAGTATGTAGGTTATGTAAATAGTAGGTTATAATTGAGTATGGGTTATAATCTTTCATTTTACTAGTTTGGTACAAATTTTAATTATTTTTTGTTTCAAATAAAATGAAATCAATCAAAATCAAGTATTTTCTGTATGAAAGCTAATTCATGAGTCTTGGAATTTAAATTACTTTTAGGGTTTTACCTCGCATTTTTTCTTTTTAATCCCAGCGTTTCGAAAACTACCCAGTCTCTGCCCTTGTGGCAAACTAATTATCATTGTCAGTAATGTTTAAAAAAAATGGTCATTTCGTTTCAAGATGTACATAAATAGATTTCACTGAATTAAATGTTACCTACTTAATGCATCTTTCACTATAAATTGCAGCAAAAAGTAATTATGTAATATTATGGATACAAGCCCAAGTAATCGATAAATATGTACGCATTGTTGGTGCATAGCAGCTGTTCATACCTTCGTTTTGATGAAATGGAACTAAATTTGTATTAAAAAGTAATAATGATCTATGATATATTGACACAACTAAAACATTTTAACGTAAAAAAAAATTTGATTGTAGGTATTATAACATTAATTTCTTTGTATTATGTATGATCTGCTACATTTTCAATCATTCTATAGTGTTCTATACCTCAAGTATATTAAGTGTATAATCTATGTTCTATACCTACCTACCTACACTCTACAGTTTTTTTTTTTTTCTCCCATTTCTTGGCCTGCACGGTTTGTGCGTCAGCCATGCAAAAAGGTTAGGAGTGTGTTAATGGAAAATACAGTTTTTTATCTATGTTTCAAATATGACATCCAGGGCATTGACATACTATTAGCTGTCACGCGAATGAGGTTACTACATAGACCTATATAGTAGGGACACGACATATTGTTCTATACGTACAATTGCTTATATAAATAGCACCCATTTTGAAGGCACACACATAAACATATATCTATCTCGTTCTTACTCAGCACTTTAACTCGCAGGAAAACAATATAACAGTATTTCAGTGCGTACATAAAATGAAACATGAATATACGTAAATGTATCCGTCTCCGTCTAATGAGGCCGAAAATCCGCCATGTTTAGCGCGCCAAATGTCATTGTCACGTCAGCTTTGGGTTGTACATTATTTATTGACTTTGATATCGATTTAATATGATTGCTTATATAAAATTTCTAATTTCATCATGCTTAAAACATACAAAAATAATAATTAAAACATATTTTATAGGATCTCAAGAAGGTCGATGCCCCAAAACTATTATCTATATATATTTAAATTCATTATGGAGCCCTCATCCGAAACATAGATTATACACTTAATAATATATTTGAATCCGAAATATCGGACACCATTTTTCGGTCGGAATCTATTCATCATGACACTAATCATAAATACCTCTTTAAAATATGTCATCAAAACATATTTAGACATTCTGTTTAGATATTTCGGGAAAAAGGCTACCGACAAAATCTCTTCGGAACTATTTAAATA